GCAACTACCGGTTGGTTCACCGACTTACCGGTCGAATCGCCGACGAGACGGCGCGTGAGGAATTTTAACTAGAATTCCAAGTGGCGTGGAATTTTCTCAAGAAATTTCTCCTTTACTAATTTTCCTCCCCCGTTCCGTTGGCAGCTCGAGCGGTCGAGTTCCCGAGGACAAAGCACCGGGTATTTTCTGGGTTAGTCGCTCGAGAAAACGGTAGCCCGGTAACGCGATGCTAAATAATATATAGGTATACAGGTGGATGCACGTGCAACACAGGTACAAGCTAGATTAAATCCGGCTCTCTACGAAATCCCAGAAATCGCGGTACCCACCGATCCATGCGACGCCACGGTCAGCAATACTTTACACCTGCCACGCTACAGACCTAATTAGATACGACGGACTTAATCTTGCACGCGTAATGGGGTCGTTGAACGAAACGGGTGTAACAATCCCTTCTCTCGCGACCCGGCTATCGCGACCGACCTACGAGGGATTTCGTCCAAGAATATGAACCTGAAAGTGCCAGGCTCGTCCAACAGGAATAACTTCCTAATTCGAATCTATCTATTTATCCATGTTCGATTTAATAAACTCGACTCTACAGATTCCGACGGCTAGTTTTCGTCGACGAACGAACCTTCCCTAAAGAGGGAGTCAATCCTCGAAGCCACGGAGGGAGCCCCGACTCGATTCCGATCGATCCCTTTGACATTTACCTCCCCTTTAAATTGGACCGCTCCTTTCCATCCAGTTTCCCTTGCAGTCATCCATTTGCGAGCCACGGAATTACTCTACCGGGGAGAATTCGTTTCCATCCTACTACGCTAGATCGATTCGCGATCGTTGGAGTGTCGCGAGTCTCCTTCGTTAATCGTTGAAAAAGTTCATACGGTACGGGAAGCAATTAACCGGTGCATCGTGGACTCGTTAGCGTTGAAATAACGCGTTAGGCTACCACTCGTGTCGGCTTAACGACTCGACTTTGACGGACCAAGTCATGTTGTACAATATTTGACGAACCGCGCGAAGAAACGTCGGCGGAAGGATGCGGAAGCGATAAAAAAAAAAGCACAAGCGACGATTCGATCGGGGAAGGGTTAAGCGAAGAAGGATGGCGCGAAAAGAGGCGCGTAACGGACAACGGGTGATGGCTGAGGAGCGACAGGAAACGGGTTGCGGGACAGAGTAGGCGGGTGACGGAAGCAGAGGTAGGGAATATCGTGTGGTTGAAGCGCAGTGTAGGGGCTTAAACAAAGGAGAGTCGTTAGAAACAAGTGGCGCCGATTAAAAACGCCGACGCCGCGACTCGCCGCGATGCATCGACAAACACGTCGTGTTTTGCTCCGGCTCCGTTTTCCTTTCTTCTCTCGTTCGCGTTCCCTTCTTTCCTCACTCGTGACCGATCGACGAGCGAACTCGCGGTTTTTCCGCCCTGCTCTTTCCGTTTATCCCGACTTGATCCGCGCTGCGCTCAAGTGTCCTCGTGCGCGTAAACCCGGCATACCTGGCGGTGATCGGGAATGGAAAGCTAGCCCTTCGTAGGGAAAAACACAAGGCGTAAAAAGGTAAGAAAGTGCGGTGGGTCAGAGTATCGCAAAAAGGCTTGTAATACCAAACAGCGAGCGAAAGAGAAGAGGAGAAGGTGGAGGAGGAGGAGGAGGATTCCGGTGGTGGCGCGGCAACGTCCTGCGACCTACATCAACGAAAGCGAGGATACATTATTACTATCATCGGAAAGCAAAGCTCCGATGGTGCGACGGCCGCAGGGTGTTTCAGGGTCGGTTGCCATGGCAATGCGCTGGGACAGCCACGGGGTGCAGCCTGGAATATCCACCCTCTTGCCTCTTTTCCGCGATTCTCCCTGCTCCCCCTACGTTCTACTCGCTCTCTCGCTCCTACTCACCACCCCCTCTATCGGCTCTTCCCCGTTTCCTCGCTCCACATCCTACCCCGGCACAGCCCCCACGCGCGCCGTTCTCATTCGGTTGCCGTTCCTGCTCCTGCCGCCGCTTCCAATCCTCCTCCGCCGCTGCTTCTGCCTCCTTGTCCGGCTTCCATCGTGGATCTCCCTCTCTCGGTATCGTTAGCTCCCGGATGGATCGACTCTCTCTCTCCCTCTCTGTTACACTGCCACTACTTTACGCTGCGTCTCCGCTGCTCCATCTAATCGTGCTACTCGTGCGCGCTTTATTTCGTCACACCGGATATCATCCGGTCGCGCGCTTTTGTCGCGTTACGAAGCGCCGCGCCGTCACGATCGATCACGCGCCAGACCGTTTCGCCGGCGTACGATGTAATGCTTACGTCGCGGTGTAGATAACGCGTAACGCGCGTTCCCGCGTAATTGCAAATGGAAACGAAGAACTACGGCCGTCGATACGCGATAACGAGTGTCGTCCAACCTCAGCTCCACTTCTATCGCTTAACCCTCGCGACACCCTTCGGAAAAAGGTCCAGACGTTTCTTTTGCCAAGACTGCTTTTTCATCCGGCCGAGAGCCTTTCCTCGAGCAGCTCGTCCGTTATCGCACACCTTTACCAACGTCCCCCTTGGCTCGAGAACAAGCCAGAATCTCTCTTCGATTAAGGCAGTTGGATCGATCCCGATACCTCCATTCCCTCTCTTCTCCTTCTCCTCCACATCTCCACGCACACACACAGTCTTGCCGTCGTTACGTTCTTTCGGTCCTTTGTTCAGATTAGGCTCGAAAGTTAGAAGGGGACGAGGGGGTAGTAGGTTTCACGAGACGGTCAGAGATTTCTCTCCTCGGAAATTTCGCGACTTTTTCCTCTGGCGTTTCGGTTAGGCAGAGTCTCGCGAGAAAAGAGAAAGCTGCCGCGAAGGAAACGGAACCCTTTCATTCGAGATATCTTTAATCGCGCCGACATAAAGAACGTCTGCGACACTGAAAGTCGGAGAGGTCTCCGCCTAGACCATTCAACGAGCTAGACAATGCTCCTTTTTATCGAGACTACCAACTCTCCTCGCGCAGATACCGCCGCGGCGTCACAGCTGCACGCGCGCATACTCCTACGTAAGTACATACATATATACGCGTGCATTTCTCCTCTTTTTCCTGCGAAAATAACGTGAAATGGAAATCCACAGACCCAGCCGAGAGATAATGGCGCGGTGAGCACATTTATTATATTCTCCCTCGTCTTGAAGGAAAGTTGAAAAGGTAGCAGCGCTTCTGCACGATGGCGATCCATCGCCGCGACTATTTAGTCGCGCGTACCCGAACAAAAGGATTCTCTGTTTGAGAGTCTTTAATATGCGGCTAATGAAATCATACTCATCCATATTCAAAAGATTCCCTACGAAGAATTACCATCCGCCTGGAATACGGATCGCAGACACGAGAATGGATTATCCGGTCGTCTCGCGATTCACGTCCGTGCGTGTACCACCCTGTACCGTGCAAACGAAATTCAGCGTAGGACGTTTACGCCAGGCGACGAGGGGCAAATTAAACGGGCAAATTGCGCTCTATACGCGTCGGACACGAGACGGGGAGGGAAGGGATGGGAAGGGAAGGGATGAGTCGTTGGAGGAAAGTTGGGAACAAGAATAGGGGTAGCAGTGAGCTCGAACGATAAGATCGAGAGCGTAAGCTTTTCTTCGCGGGATCCGGTGCAATATTTTACGGGCGATCGACGATCGGAGTATCCCCTCGTAAAAATTCGTCGGATACCCTTTTCTGCTTGGTCCGCCGCGACCTCCCCCTTTTGGAAAAGGAAGATAGCATTCGCGACGAATCGCAAGAATGTCGGCGGTTGGTTAGCGCGAAACGGTAGATTCGATCTGAAGGGCCTCGAGAAACGGGGAGGTGGAGGAGGGGGGAGAAACGAAACGAACGGTGGAACGAATAGCGGCGGAGGGTAATAAATGGCCAGGATGAATAATAACTCGGTTATTGAAAGAAAATTCCGACCGATACGAGTTCCGAAACTCGGAAGCATTAGCCCAGTTCCAAGAGCTGCGCGGATAAGGCACATCCACCCTCCTTCTCCTTCTTTCGGCTCTCGTCTTCCGAGGTTTCCTCCGAGTGTACGCTTTGGCTGGCTCCGCTACCGACGAGCCAACGTCCCAACCTACCAACCTCCCAGCCTCTTCGTGCTTGCCTCCAAGCCACGTCCGCATAATGGCTATTCAGATAGCGAATCGATTTATTTCCCCGGGGGCTTTCGGATACTTTCGGAGCTACTCTCTCGCCGTGAACTTGGAACGGTTCTTTCTTTTCCCCGGTTCTCCTCGAGTAGCGAAAACTCTTCTCGCGAGTAACGGGACGCGACCAAAGTTCTTCGAAGGTGGCTACGATTCGCGATAAACGAAGGGCTTACCTTGTTCGGATATCCGTTGTAACGGAGGAGCTTCTTGCAGCACTTGCCGCGATTCTCGTAGTAGAACATCTGGACCATTTCTGCACGATCGGTCGCCGCGCTGACGGTGAACGGTGCACCGTCGTTCCCGAAGCTCCTCGACGAGGAGGCCGATTGTTGTTGCTGTTGTTGTTGTTGTTGCTGCTGCTGCTGCTGCTGCTGCTGGCCCGGTGATTCCCGGCGGCCGATCGGCACGCACGGACACCACCCCGAGACCATCACACCGATCGACCTGGATCCACCTCGATCCACCTTTTCGTCCCTTCACCCTTCGCCAATCCCTCTCTACCTTCGCGCAACTTTGCTTCTCATCCTTCTCACCTCCTCCTTTTCTTCTCGATTTCTTCCCTTCTTCGCAACCCGATCCAACACACTTTCGCCCCTTTCTTTCTTCCTTTGCTCTCCGTTGGCCTTCTCGTTTCGCGCCCTCCCACCGACCGGCCAAATTTTCACAGTTCTTTGCCACTTTTTCTTCTCCGATCATATATACACGTATAAGTATATAGATAGTTTAGGAAAAATTTGATCGACGTTTGGACGATCCACCTCTGTCGCGGCTAACGTCGTGGTCGTCCTCGCCGCCGCCACCGTCGCCGCCACCGCCGTCGTCGTCGTCGTCGTCGTAATGTTGAAATTTTGTTAGCCTCCACTGGATTATCGAACTTTGCCGCCTTCCTTCACGCGCCACCGTTAAGCACCAACTGAAAAATATCGATATTGCTTCGCAAAAGTGCCGGGTGTATATTATAGAAGAAGAAGAGATAAATGGAGGTAATAGAGGTAACGTTACGCTACGCGAATATCGATTCTTTCGAACGGCTACGGCTACGGAACGAAAAAGAAACCCGTTCGGGGAGAGAAGCGTGTACGTAGAGGGACGGAAGCGAAACCGAGGTGAATCCTCCGAGAGATTCGATTACGCTCGAAACTATCTCCTGGTAGAATTTCGCGACATTCGCGAAACTCGAGGAAACCGTTGAAATCGATCGCGCAATTACCCGATTCCGGATAAAGTTAACTTCGAGGCGGATGGAAGTGACGCGCGAGTTCCCCCGAAAAGAAAAAGGGTAGGATTTTCTAGGGAACGATTCGGCGATCGAAGTTAATCATTTTCTTCCGTCGCGAACGTTATTCCGCGGAAGAAATTCCAGCTCGACCACGCGGCAATACCGGCAACGAACGCGAAAAAAACAACGCGCGAATTTGCAATTCATGAGAGGAGTCGACGGTATTTGTCGTCGGCGAAGCAGCGATATTTGCAGGATACGCTACGCGACCTAGTTCAAGGATGGCGCCGCCTCGCCTCTTTTATTTCCCTCCTTTTTCTCTCTTCGCTCCCTTGCGACCAGCAGCTTCACTTCACACACACGCGCGCGCGTTACTATCGCGTACACCTTTCCATCGAGATATTTCTCACAAAGAAGGCAGGCGAAAAACGATTAAATTGAAGAATTCCGACGGTAAAGGCTAGCTGTCTGCGAGAGATAACGCATCGGTAAGGGACTCGGATTTGCACTGATAACGAAACGATAACGCGTATTCCGTGAAATAAAATAGTTGGACTTTACTATAGGAGAAATCGATGGTTCGATTGCCTTCCATAGGCGGAAGTTTCGCGCGTCGACTGATTTTTTATTCGACGCGGGAAATTCTGCAAGAAAATCTATACGATGATCCGGACGTTTACCGACTGCGGAAAAAACTATCGGAACGTTTTATATGGAGCTTTCGATAGAGGACGACCGATTGGCTGGCCGCGGCGGGGCGTCCGAGAGACAGCAAGGGGCGGATGCGGCTAAATGGAAACCGCAGGTTCGGCGAACTCTCGGAAAATCGGACGGAAACTCGCGCTTCTGACCGATCTGTACACGCGGCTAGCTTCGCCGGATATAGTAAACCGGTATCGAGCGATGCGGTTTCATTCCCGCTAGAATCGAGCGCGTCGAATCGAACCTCCGTGCAGATGGGACAGCTCGATCCATCCCCTTACATTTCCCTGCTTTACTTCATTTACCTACGCGTACCCAAAAGTGCCGCAATCGCGATAACTGCAATTCGAGCCTCCCTCTTTTTCCCGCGTATTACACCAACCTTCTTCCATCCCTCCTCCCACGACAATTACACACCTCTGCCTAATCTGACAACGATAGATTTCTCACTCCCCCCCCCCCCCCCCCTAATTCCGTACTCCCGTTTCATAATTGCTACACTTCCTATCAATTACGCCTGTTCTCACTGTACGTCGTTGACAAGTAGGTAAACTCATTTTCTAATCAGAGGCGAGTAGATTTTCTTTCCGTGTTCTATAGGTGCCTGAAGGCATATAGCTGGCGATGGAAAATTGAAAAAGTGTCGTTTCAGTGGGCTTTTCACGCACGAAAACGTGACCGACGTCTTTATCGTTAATAATACTTTTCTGTGGTCGTTGGCAAGGCAAACTCCTAAATACATAGAAGGCCGACGACGTTTCTCTTTTTTTATCGGTGGAACATCCGTACGAGTAAAACTCGAAGGTACAGCCCTGTGTGGCTTGGATGAAACGCGGTTCGGAGACCCATTTCTCTCGCTGCGTAATTACGACCGTTGTAAATACGCGCTGGAAAAATTGCGTTGGGAACGTGGATGAACGGTTAAGGGCGATTTCGGAAAAGGGGTTGGATTTGCGAGAGACGCGACTTGGACGAGAACGTAGAACCAACATAATACATATACAATCAATTAAAGGAAGGAACGACGGAGGAATTTGTTCTGGACAAGGATCGTGCGTGGAGCATGGAGCGTGGACCGTCCGTGATACGCTTTAATCCGATAACAATCCGTCGAAGGTGGAAAAAGAATTACGTAGGAAAGAAGGAACGTATGAGACAGACGTACCTCGATTGGAAGGCGGTCGATGCACGGCTCCGGAGGAAATTCGTGGAGAAAAATCCATCGTTGTTTCGTTCATTGTTTCCCGGGGAAAATCCAGCCTGGAAGGTTCGCCTCCATCGCGTCAACTCGGCGATTGCGTTAAAGTGGCACGAGCCATGGGAAACGTGCAGAAGAGTACGAGATGGAGCACGCAAGGAGAAGAGGAAAGAGTAACGGAGTGGCAGAGGCAGAGGGAGAGAGAGACAAAAGGGGAAGAAAGAGAGGAAAGGTGGAAGAATGGTAAGACGAGATTGGAATGGGATAAAGGCGAAAGTTGTCGTGGTGATCGGTCTAGCGGAGAGAAAGAGATTAAGGGGAAGAGAGAGTGAGAGGGACGGGGAGGAGGAGAAGAGGAAGCGAGAGAGGAACGAGGCGCGCAATCGAAATAAAGCGAGAAAATGTCGCGCTCGAGACGGCGAGCGAACGCGAACTAAGGGGGCACGGGCTCGTCGGCTCGTCGCGCTCGGCGTCGCGCTCGACGACGAGCGGCGCTTCCTTCGATTCGACGGCGCAGGACAGACTGAGAGAACTCGCCTACCGTCCGCTCACCCTTTCCCCAGCCGACCCCCTATAGCCCACCCGTTCTCCTCTCTCCGCTCTTCGCCGCTCTTCTCGCCTAGCTGACACGCGTGCCTTCCTTCCGTTCCTCTTCCTTTAGACTTTAGACGCTCCAATTCCTCGCTCGACACCGACCGACGACTCTTCGATTTCCTTTCCTCTCGCTACCTTCGTCTTCTTCTTCTCGCGCGCTCGTTAACGACGCCAGACACGAGACGCGGCGCGGCGCGCGCGTTACAAGACGATATGCCACGGGAAACAAGGGGATGCGCTTCTATTCGCGGTCCATGTGCGGATCAGAACCGCGCACGCGCCACCATAAATCACCCTGTGAACTCCACGAGCCGCGTATCCGCTGTTCGTCCGTGCGTTATTGTCGCGTGTTACGCGATCTCCTCCTTCCCGAGGGACGATTCTTCTATTTTTTTTTCCTGCCGCGATTGAAACGTTTAAATGCTAATAGCTAAATTTCCCTATCATTTCGTCGACTGTCAGACGAAAACCGACAGCTTGGAAACACCGACTGGCCGTAGACGAAGAAGAATTTCGAGGAGGAATGGTATTTCTATCTTTAGACACTGTCGGGGACAGGCAGAGCGAGTGTCGCGTAGGGTCGTTTGCGAGGAACGTGTCCGAGCGAGAGAACCGCGTTTTCGTAAAGCCGCTGCATTCGAAGGCAAGCGAGACGGTGCCTGAGCGGCGAAGGAGATTATATACCCCTGGCAACCAGATCTGCCTACGAATTTCGCGTAAACGCGTGGCCAAGCTTAACAGAGCCCTCACGTCTCGAGGTCTAATCGAGGAAGAACGTTCTGACGCGAGTGAACTTGACGTTGACGGGGAACGAACGCCAAGCGACGCCAATGTGGATAACTGCCGGTGAAGTTTAGACAAAGCCGCGTAATCACGCGATACGCCGCGAGAGACTCGAGTTTGCTCCAGGCACGAGAGACGCGTCGAAAACCAACTTATCGATATCGCGGCTATCGTCCGCGTACATCGATAATACCGTTTCCTTGCTCGAATCGTCATTGTACGTCTACCTGTTGCCGTGCGCAGCCAGTTAACCAATCGGTTGACCGCAAGGTACGTCGACGACGAATCACACGGATCGGTGTATGAAAGGAAAGGAAAGGAAAAGAAAGGAAACGAACCGAACGATTTCGACACGAGCATCGAGCGAAGAGGGGGGGAACGGGAAGATTATTTCTCGCCGTGCTCGGTGAGACTGCCGCTTAAAATCGCCACCCTAACGAACCTATTTACATTCGATAATTAAACGAACGCCCACGCAGCGAAGCGTGTACGCGCGCACTCGAAAACAAAACTGCACCCCCGACTCGTGAGGCTGCCCTCCGTCGACGATCTCGATTAATGATTCAAGTTTAAAACCCTTCCTCCGTTGTCTTAGGAACATGAATGGACGCGGTATGAGTCAGGTCCCTCTCACGTAATACAGAAAGGCATTGTCCTGCCACCCTTTCTGCCTCGATATCACCGCGAGCTCGGAGAAAATCGCGCGCGAGAGGAGGGCGCGTAACTCGTTGCATCGGCAAACGAATAAACACGAAAATAGCGGGAGCAAGAATATATAAACGGAGGCAGAGCGATGTAACGCGACGGAACAGCATTGGCCGTGTTCCAGATTTCCCTAAAATCCCCGCGGGAAAGCTATTTGCCGAAGTTATGGCGGCAGGAGGGGGGCGTAGGGTCGATACTCGGTTTCGCCGAGGATATAAGCGGATTTTTTTACACGCGCGATAATTGAAGCGCGCTCATTGTTTCCCGGTCCCTTTACAGAGAGAGAGAGGGTAGCCCCTTTATCTGGCGCGCCTTTCATCGGTCGGCTTTTTCGTAAACAGCGGCCCGCCGACTGGGCTGCCGGCCGGTTGCGCGAAAAACGAGCCACGTTAATGGATAAACGGACAGCATAATGGTGTCTGCGATTTCGAGCATTGTTTCAATTTCTAGGCAGCCGCGCGCGCCTACACCACGCTCCGACGATAGCAATTTGGCTGCTCGATAGACCGGACGTAACTCGAACGATGCCCCCACCGATTAATAAAATACGCCTCCTCTCTCTCCTCTCTGCTTTCCACCGTCTTCTACGTATATATGTACATAGGTATGTAAGTATGTGTGATATACATATGTACCTATAGAATAGGCGGAGGAAGCTCGGTTGAAAGAAAC